ACCCAAACCCAAACCCAAACCCAAACCCAAACCCAAACCCAAACCCAAACCCAAACCCAAACCCAAACCCAAACCCAAACCCAAACCCAAACCCAAACCCAAACCCAAACCCAAACCCAAACCTAAACCAAACCCAAACCCAAACCCAAACCCAAACCCAAACCCAAACCCAAACCCAAACCCAAACCCAAACCCAAACCCAAACCCAAACCCAAATCCAAACCCAAACCCAAACCCAAACCCAAGGACTCAATTATCTCGGGAACGGCGAATTAAAAAAATTAGTATTTTCTATCATTTCTTCCAAAACTCATATAGATTGATATTTGAGTGAATCATAACCCGGAACGTTCTCGTCGCAGAGATAATAGATATACTATGAATTTTTGAGTTGACCATTTTTGATTATCTCAATAACTACGGGGAGTTTTTTCACGTGTATTACAGAATAGATATATTAATGTATTTAATAATACATATATAAGAACTGGATAGCCAATATTAGCCGTTCGTTTTATGTGATTAGGTTTTCGCCATACCCAAACCCAAACCCAACCCCCTGCCTTTCTTGATTTGTTTGGCAAACCTTTCTTGATTTGTGGATTTTTGGAAGAGTTTTGCTGGCCAAGTTTACACATTTCTAATGTTTATAGGTCAAGTAGTTACTGATTTAAAATCTGATTTGAAATTTAATACAACAATGTTTGAGTTTACAAAAATTAGCGGTCTTGAAGATGTCAAAGAAGTTGATTTGAGCACCTTGGCTGTAGCATTAAATTGTTATGTGACTAATGAAAACAATGGAAATATTAGACTTGCATTTCCAAGAAGAACAATCAGGAAGTATTTAGGAATTTATGGACCATCATTTTCAATTCAACGATTTGTAAAAACAATTCCTCAATTTTTGGATAAGGGAGCAACATTTGAGATATTAATTGGATCATTTATTGTTTGGAAATCTAAACTGGGTCTTCTCCAAAACTCTAATTTCGGAAGTGTTTTCCCTTTTTTAACAGGTACAACTTTAGCTGATAAGCTTTGCATTAATTTTCCTACCATGATAACAAATAAGCGTACAAGAGAAAACGCTGAAAGCGAATGGAAGAAAGTTCATTTACATTTTAGTGCTTATCAGAACAGACTTTCTATTATGAAAGAAAAATCACGTGGGCCAGATATGTTTATTGTTTTTGAACAAGATTTGTGGTGGTGTATTCAAGACAAAAATAAGTCAGAGTTTAGTTTTACTGAACTTTATGGAGAAATTGACAAGTTGAAAGATTTTCCACCAAACGTCAAGATAATTTTTACCATGTTTTATAGATGCAAACTAGAAAAAGAATTATTGGGAGTATTTTATGAAGGAAGTATTATTGATAGACCTAAAGTGGGTTCGCAACAAATTCAAGTTCCAAAGAATGTAACTCTTGTAATTGTTGATGAGAATGGAATTAAGAATCTTATTGGAGAATCTAATTATATGGCTCTTGTTGAGCTATCAACATATTATATTCCTAATTTTGCTTCAATGAATTGAAAACAAAAATCTCATCATGTAAAAGCAAAAATATCTCGAATTAAAACGGATTCAAAAAACACCAACAATTCAATTCAAATACTTACTCAATTTGAATTTATTTGATTTCAATAGACCAACTTCTTCTATTTAAATGTTTGCTACAATGCTTTCTTGTTCTGTCATTGTAGGAATAGTCAACTTGCCCAAGGAAAGTTTCCACACTAGAAGGTGAATACTTGTTATTTACAAGGGAAGTATTTACAGCTTTCCAAAATTCGTAATAATTAAATGTTGGAACAACCAAATCGCCCTCTACATGCATCAAGAATATTTTCCTGTCATTTGACAAGTCAACCTTCTCCAATAATGATTTCACATCATTGTGAAATGGAGGAAATCCCATCAATTGAGCCTTATGAGGAACGATACTTTTGAGAGCATCAATGGCAATTCTAGCAACAGAACTTCCTACAATTTGTTTTGCTCCATCATGAATTGTTTCGAATATGTCAATTGGAGGACTGTCAACGAAAGCTTGTTTGATTCGTTTATCTTTTGAGAATGCAATGAGTGAAGTTGCAGCTCCCTATTTGAAATTATTTAGTCAAATTTCAAATAAATTAAACTCACCATCGAAGTTCCAAAAATTCCAAAAGAGTTATTATCCAAAAATGGATATTTTTGTTGAAGATAATCCAAAGCTCCTAAAACATCCAAATGTTCAAAAGATCCAAAGGAAGCATACGGTAATTTTTTAAATATTCCAGTATCTCCATGATTTCTCAAATCGATCTGTAAAATGTTAAATCCCATATGATACAGCATTGTACTCGCTAACATGGTTTCGTATTTAAATCTACAAGCTGTGTATCCATGAACTGTGACTATAAATCTTGATGTTGAATTGATAATTGGTTGTTTGTAAAGAGTTCCAACCACTTTCACTTTTCCTATAATATCAAAAAAATTAGCAAGTTTAAATGTTCCATAAACAGAATATGGAGAACATACCAATTCCTCCCTCAATCCAATCAGCATCTCTACTCATAAAACTAACAGTTTCATAATTTCCCTGATCCACAAAATACTTCTTCAATTTATCATGCCACTGTGATGTTGGTTCCTCAAAATATGGACACTTGGTCTGAATCGTATAATTTGAAGGAGTATTTAATCAGTAGGGAAGTCCACAATTCACAGCTGGATTCACAGAAAACACTACATTCCACAAATAATCAGCCACCGAAAACCAAGTTATCAGAAATAATACTAAAAATCCAAAAGATAGTAAACAACAAGTAATTGATAATCCAATCATGATTCGACAATACAAATTCGATAAGATGGTTTTCTTCTGATCGATTCTCTTATAGGTTGTTTCATCATCCACATCGAGTGTATAATATTCAGTGATAGTTGGTTCCTTAACTCCTTTGGATCGAAATAGGGAAGATGTGCTAAACATTTTCTTCATCTTGTCTTGTTGCTTTTTCTTTTTGTTGAATATGATGGAGAATTTTGTTTGAAAAGAAAGCAACAATGAAACACACTCGGAATTTAGAGGAAGGACATGAGGGTGTTGATTTTTTATTGTGTTGCAGAGAATAGTACTGATCATAAGGACAAGAAAACTTCAAGACTCCTGAAATTGAACCTTCTTTTTCATTCATATATGTTTCTCCGTAGGACCGTTGATTAAGGAGAATTTAGTCCTTGCTTTAAAGAATCTTTCACAAAGTAAGGGCAGAGGTATTTATTGAATGCAACAACAACCCTGCTTCTTTGGTGGTTGTTGAGGATTTTCAATATCGAGGGGTTCATATGTTTTTCCATCCGCGAATTGAACTGGATCAGTTTGTACAATTTTTGATTCTCCCTTCATGTCATTCTTAATTTTGGCAAATTGAGAAGCACTAATGGATTCACCAACCGCCGTCGAACTCGTGGCAAGACTCTTTTGCACTGGTGGAGGGACAGTGGTATATTTCGATAATTCAGTTTCCAGTTCTAAAACCCTAGCTCTCAATTGCTTTTCAATCTCGAGAAGTTCTGCAATCTTTTCCAATCGAGGATCTCCTCTAGAAACCTTGAGTTTGTTCTTGATTTGTTTAGCCCTATCAGCAAAATACAGAGTGCTCAATGATTCTTCAGCGTTGACATCGGCAGGACTCACACAAACAACCAACAACGTATAGGAGTTACCACCAATTGAATCTTTCAATAATCTGGTCAATTTGGAGTTACGATATGGTACAAAGTTTGTCTTCTTTACAAGTGCATTAATGACATTACCCAAGTTGGAGAGTGACAAGTTGATTTTAGCTCCTTCCTTCAATCTATCACCTGTTGCTTCAGTAGCTGATTGTCTTTCAGAACCAGCCAAGTCAACGAGTGAAATCTTATTGGATCTATAGCTGAAACCATCCTCATCTCCCTTATCAACCTGTTCCATACAAATTTGAAGAATACCATGAGATCTGGACGATTCTTGATTCATTTTTGTTTCTCCAACAGTTCTCCTTGTTGCACCCTCATCCAAAATTTCATTCAGCTCAGTATCTGTCGTGATTGGTTTTTCAATAAGGTTTGTAATATATGTTCCTTTCACTTTGTCTTCTCTTATTTCATAACTCACTCTTCCACTATGAGGATTCAACAAGTCCAAAATATTTTCATTGTAAATTTCCAAATAGGATGCCTTAATAGTGATGTCAGTCTTTTCCTTTTCTCGTTCCACATATCCAAACAATTCTCTGACAAATCTTGACATGATTCCTTCCTTTTCTTGATTTCCTTTCATACCTTGCATTGTCCACTATTTAAATTGTCACATTGAATAGAGAGATGGATTACTTACAGATTTACCAGATCCAGTTTGACCATACGCAAATATACAAGCCTAATCCAGAAATAAATATGTAAAATATTTTGAAACAGTTCAGAATTGCTCATCAAATTAATACGTACATTAAAACCTAACACATATCTATCTAAAACTCTCTGACCAGTTGATGAATAAACTTCCTGTTGCGTAGAATTCTCATCAAACACATCGTCAAAATAGAATTTCTTATCTTCCTTGTCTTTTCTCTTAATAAGAACTTCTCTATTCGCTTTTGTTATTGTTATACAAGGTTGTGCTTTCAATTTCATTTCTCTATCATTGAAAGGTCTCATTCTCACCACAACTTTAATACCAGTCTCATCACCCGAATCGGACATGTTATCATAATTAGATCTTGTTGTTGTTGTATACGAAGAGGATGTATCAGCATTTGATGCAACTGTATTATTCAAGGAATTTTGTTGATTATTAACTGAGGCACTTGTTGAAGGAGGCGATGATGCTTTAGTAGATTTAGATTCCGATGCTGTTGTTGTGGTCGTATTCGATGAGACTGGTCGAACCTTGTTGTTTGGTGGCATGTTTTGTCCTTTTTTTTGGAGAGATTGAGGCGTTTGTACTTGCTTCCCGCCAAAACTTAACAGCTACTGAAATTTATTTATCCAGGATAAGAAACAACGACACACATGCCGAACAAAATATGAAACAGTGATTGGTTTGTTATTTAATGTTGGAATAGTAGGTCTTCTTTATTATAATACATTAAGGTTTGGAAGATTGAAGATCTTCATTGGATTGAGCATCCTTTTTGGAAAGCTTTAGGAATAGTTTTTTAGGCATGTATTTCAGTGTCGAGTTTCTAATGAATTGCTTAAAGGCAGAGGTTGTTAAAAAGAAATCTCCTTCTCTAATTGTTTTCCTCTGGATTTCCTTGATACGATCCAGCATTTTACGTTCATATGATTCGAGAGCATCTTTCAAATATGGCATATCCTGATGATTGAGTAATTTTTCCACAGGAATGTCACGAATATAATCGACACCATCCATCTTGGCATGTTGAACTAGTACTCGTTTCAGTTCGTCAGCAAGAGTCTTGGCCCCAACAAGAGCCATTGAAGCACCTTTACCACTGAGTGGAGTCAGTGCTTGACAACTGTCTCCCAACAAGACTATTCTTCCCTTATGCCACTTGTCAATGTGAATTTGAGCCAAATCATCATAGTAAATTGAATTTGAATTACCCAATAACTGAATCAGTTGAGGGAAGAGGTGTTGAACATCTGCAAACTTTTCCACAAGGAATTGCTTTCTCTTGACAACATCAATATCCAACTTGTTTTGTCGAGTGTAGAGTTTTCTACTACCAGATGATGAAGATGCTGAGCTCTTGTCTTTATCTTCATCAGATGAGCCAGATGAAGATCCAGATGTGCTTGTTCGTTTTTCCTTGTCCTTCTTACTGCTCTCAGTATTTCCTTCATTTGATTCCTCACTCTGTGAAGCCATCTCATCCAAAGTGAATGCACAAGAAACATAGCAACGATTCTTATTTCTCGAAATGGTCATGTATCGTCCCTTATCGAGAAGGAAAGACACAGTGTGAGAACTTTCAATTCCTTCCTTCACTTTCTTACTCAATATTTTACAATGTTCCAATGATATTTTCTCTCCAGTTATTGCAGGATCCATATCGTTTGCATCATTTACCAAATCAACCATGAAACACATATATCCTACATTTAAATACTTTTTAAATTGAATATCTGGTCCAAATACTAAATTTCTAGTTTGAGAATTGATTCCATCAGCTCCAACAACCAAATCAAATTCTTCAATGAGTAAATTTGGTTGACTCATGTTAGGATTTGAAGATGGAGAACTTAGTGATGAAAGAGAAGAGAATGAAGCTGAACCTTTCATCATGGTTGGAGTTCCAAGACTATTCTCCCTCCTCATTGGATTAAATTCGTTGAAACTTGAAGGAGGCTCCTCGAACTTGATTGGAGTGGAGGGATTGTTGTTTGGAGTTTCTTGAATCTCATCTTCTTCAATATCTGTGGAAATGTTTTTCCCGCTTTTTTCTAGTGCTCCCTCTTTAAAAGGAAATATTTAGTTTAATACATGGTATAACATCTTGAATTTTACACGAATGATTTCATATCATGTATACTATATCCTATTCATTTTTGAATATTTAATCTTTTGTTTTCATTGAGATAATTAGTGAGTTATGACATCATATACCTTTTTGGGAAAAGCGATTTTTCGCTCAACTACTTAATATCGAATATTGAATTTTGTGGTGGTAAGAGATAAGATCAGATACTAATACCATATGTAATTTTTTTTACGAATAGTTGCGTATTAAGGAGGATATGCTTGGTTAAAGTTGGTGAATTTTTTTGTGTGAAATTAAATTAAAATGGAAGTTTATTGGAAGGAGAGTTATTTTTTGGCGCCAAGTTTCTTTCCCATAGAGAGAAAGGTTTCGGCCAGCAGTTTTCTAAAGTCTGAATATTTGATTCGAACAGTTTCATTCATAATAGCGAACAAGTTATAAAATAGATCATTCAATAAACTGATCATCAATTTGGTTCTCCACTCAGTGATGATATAGGCATATCTAGCCTTATAATGGTACTTATCTTGAATGTCGACAAGATTAAAAGTACGTCTATAATGGTCATGATGGATAGCAGAGGTAGCGTTAAATTGATTCTGATCAAACGAATGCAAAGCATGTAGTTGAAGTGATTTTACATTTGTGGAGTTGCAAATAAATTGAATCTTCTGGATGATTTCATCCTTAGTGAGCTTACTTAATTTGATATGTTCCTTCTTTCCAATTTCTTTCAATTTTTCCACCGTATTTTTCTGCAAAAAGGAGGTAGAATATTTGCAAGAGTTTGCTGAAATGGTTGGCAGTGTTCAAAATCAAATGCATTCGAAACAAGATGGTGATATTTCTTGTCTCTGTCTGATTGGTATTGAGGATTTCTTTGCATAGAAGCGATCACAGATTTTGAAATAAATTCAGCAGCCTTCCAATTACCATGAGTGAGTGTTCTCTTCAACAAATCCCAGATCCATGACTTTTCAGTACCTGAAATAGAGAAAGTGCCAACAACATTCAATTTGATTAGCTCATCAAAGATAGTGAATGAACCAAATGCAGCATCACCAGTAATATGCAAGTTTTGATCAGTACATTCACGAACCATTTTCAACAATTTTAACATTGCTTCCTGAGGGGAATCCATAGGAACTTTGTATTGAGGAAGGATGGCTAAAACATAAGGTTTCCTACACCCAGGAAATAGTACACACAACTTATAAGACATAAGTCCATTTGGATATGGTTTTCTTGGAATGTACACTACTGGAATTGGACATTGCAAGAGTTCAGCCTCTGCTTTAACGATTGAGGAAATCTGATATGCATACACTGTTTCGTCCACAACAAAATTGGAACCAATTGTAACAGCATTTAAAGTGATATCGTTTAATGCTGTTGAAATCAATTCAAATTGTTGGTCAGAAGGAGCAAAACATTTCATCAAAGAAAAGTATCTTCTATAACCAGGAATCATGCTATCCAACTTTTCTGCACGAAGCTGTTGTAAATTGGTTTTGGCATTGGCATTCAACTTTGAATGGTTGTTTTCTAAGCTAATTACAGTTCCCAAAAAAGAGAAAAGCTGAGAGATATCAATATCATTGTAATACTTTGAGTGTGAAGATGCTTTTCCAGTTGTACTCTCTCTGGTCAAGTTAGTGTTTAATATGTCCAATAGTATTTGCCAAAAGTGGTTTGGAATCATGTTTGAAATTAGAAGTTCAAGGCTGACCTCAGTGCAAGTTACATTTCTCAGAATGGTTTTAGGAGTGGTAGGAGTTTCGGTAATTTTAGGATACACAATGTTGGAAGAAACCTTTTCAAATCCTTCTTTGTTAAAATTGAATAAAGATGCTATCCAATCAGTTTCATCATCCAACTGCTTAGCAGAGTATTTAGGTGTTAGGTTTTGGCCGTTGGATGGACTGAGTTGGCTTGATTGCTGATCTTGGCTATTTTGTTGGTCCTGTTGTGTTCCTCCTTGGCTATTTTGTTGATTGGAGGTAACAAAGCCATCGAGTGTAGCTTGTTTTTTGTTAGTGCTGGAGGCGTCTACGTTCTTTCTTTTCATTTTGATTAATTCTAACCGTTCATCCATACGAATATTTGAATAGAAGTTACACGTTCACAGTGAACAGAATTTTATCATTTTTACAATCCAAACGGTTTTTATTGGCGGGAAAAGGGAGCATTCTATTGTTTGAAGGAGCATTGCAAAAAAGCGGCGTGAACTTTTCAACAGATATCAATAGGACCTAACAAATTCTGATCAATGTGCAATGAAGGTGAAACTCCACATCTTCCACTCGCCAAGGATAAACGATCATTTGATGATGAAGTGTTACGGTCAACTAGAAGAATCTTGACTCCTTGTCCTCTAGAAGTTTCAGAAATACTCTGAACCACCGTTTTAAATCTAAAATCTGCTATCTGTGGTCCAATTTTATCATAAAGAATCGAATGTACGGTTGCCCTTTCGAATAGTTTAGAAATATCCTTATATTTGTGAATGAGCGAAGCATCAAAGTCACGAATTAATTTTCCCTTATAGTCTACATAGTGATGTTTCTCCAATGGTACGTGTAATGTTGTTGATGAAACTCCAATATCTCCCAAAATATCCAAAGTTTGTTGTCCTTTTGTAATTGTTAGTTTAGTGTAATTTAGATTAGTTTACATTCATAAACATTCAAAAAGATATTAGCCTACAACAATTAAAACAAACTAAGAACCTACCATCTACAGTAATCAAAGCTCCTACCTGAGCATATCTAGTTGCCTTCTCAACAAAGGTAATTTCAATTGGAAGTTTCATTCCTTCACAACCTTCCTGATTGAGCAAGTAATGAGCAAATACAAGACCACTCACACCACCTCCACATATTAATACTCTGAATGATCTGCTGCTGTTAGAAGAATTAGCATGAAGACTTTTTCTTTTGTTCATCTTCTTCTTTGTTAGTGTGTACTAGTTGGGAGATGAAGGTTTCGCATAAAGGCTTCAAGAATGATGCTGGCGAGGAACAACAATATGGAAGTCTACCAAAACTAATGTTGTGGCGTTTTTTTGAAATTGATTGCTAAATAGACAACTGGCGAGTTGTTTAATTTTCTCCTTTTTGGGAATTATGCGTAATTAAAAATTTAAATTATGCAGCTGTCATCGTAAAAGAAGCTTAATAACAGAAAGGATCTTCTACACTTGGTTCTTGATCATCACGGATGGTCTTTCCGATTAATTGCTTGTTGCATTGTTACTACATGCAAGTACATAATTGAGATGATTCGAAAGAGAACTGTTTAATAATTTTGTAATCTCATTAAACGTTCAATGTTTGGTAATTGTACAGACTTTTGAAAATAGAATGGTGATCACCAAATATTGAGAATATCACTGATTAAATACCCATAGTCACTCTAGGTTCTCTGGAGGAAGAGTTTACATGTTCCAAAATCAGTTTCTCATTTCTAATCTCATCTGGAGATTTAAGACAAGGTAACAAGGTGTAAGATTGCTCTGGTGGTAGGAAAATGAATAAGTGAAATGCTTCTCCTGGATATGATTGTGTAACATCAACTATGTGTAAAACCTCCTTTCCATTCACACTAAATGTTACCAATTGTTGCTCTATATCAAGAAAAACTCCAACTACATCACCAGGTTCCACAACATTATAAACTCTCATCTTTTTTCCTTTCACTTCCTTAACTCGATCAGTAATTTTTTCGCCATCATGCAAAATGCAAGATCCATCTCTCATATAGGTACAACATGTTTGGTCTTCCTTTTTTTTGGCTTCACTGGCACGAATAATTCCAACACCTGATGCTAATTTACAACAATCAAAGGCAATTCTAAAGTAAAATTTGCCACTTGTCATTCCAAATTCACTCGGCAAGGCAAGAGAAGCTCTATTACTAGTGTTCTGAACTGAAAGAGTTTGAAATTTCATTGTAGAAATATTAATATGTTTTGTTGTTCCAAAACATGCCTTTGGATTACTCCATCTCAAATACTCTTGCATGAATCTGGTCTTGTAATCCTTCTCTTCCAATGATGAACAATTTACAAAACAATACAATTCATAATAATATTTCCACATGAGCCTTCCGAAATGTTCATCCTCATCCAATTCTTCATGACAAGACAACGTCAAGCCATAATAATACGAATTCAATCCGGATAAGTATGAAACAAATTCCCAAGGCTTCAAATATCGGCAAATAATGGCCATCAATTCATGAGGAACTTGCGAAAATATATCAACAACATCTCCAATAGGCTCTGATGAACATTTAATTTGCACTGGTTTGGCTTGTTTACGAAGAAGACGCATCATTCAATTGTAGTGATGATATTGTTGGTGTTTGTGAGTTGTTAATTTTTTGATGAATGAATGGTTGGATGAATTCTTTGATTTCTTGTTTTTTTAAAAAATAACAAATTAAAGCAAAAAATATTCACAATGGGTTCTTTTAGGATTTGTTGATTCTTCGGGTGGTTTCTAATGATGAAATATCAATATTTTCGCAGAACCATCTCGATATTATTTGAATAGTAGTAGTAGTGGAAATTTTTTCTATTGGAGTAGTATCATCAAGTTGGAAATTATTTTTCAAGATGGAAAATCACAAGTGGGTGGACCTTCATCTGATCATTCGCCAACCTTCATCCTATTCTTTTCCATCAATATAATAATAGAATTTGTGGAAATTAATTTATAGTAATGTAATTTTGGTTAAATAAAAGAAAATGGACCATAACTCAACATGTACTTCACCAACTTGCATCATGTCTTTTAGTACTACTGTTTAAATAGATAATAAACATCATGTTTATTATCAGATTTTCCTCATGTGCTCGATTTACCAATTTACGATATTTCATCCCATCAAAGTTGATTCCCGACCTAACAACAAGTCAAACAACAATAAAACCACACAGGATACTCTTAGTAATAATTATTAAAAGTAGAATTTCAAGTCTTTGTTTAGTAATTTGCGACAATCATGGATATCTGAAATTTTGGTGTTTTCTCATGATGTAGAACGAGAGAAAGCTAGTAAAAGTCACAAGTGGTATCTAAAGGTATTCTCTCCATCATATAATTTTCTTTTGATCTAATTTTCACTACTAAAGATTTTACAATTTTTACATTTAAAACTTTACTATTACATTAGATAATTAATTGACTACAAGCATCAAATCAACCATACTATCCTTCTATTGATGTGCTCGAATACCAGAAAAATTATTAGATTGATAACTTTTAAATTCATTGTAAAAGAAAGCAAAGAACCAAACAACCCAAAAATAAATTATTAAAAAAAATCTAGTAATTTAATGGGAGGATACGCAAGAAGCTAACTTTGGAAAATTTAATTATTGTTCGGAATGCATAACAAATGTCGACAAATTAATTGGAAATTATTGATTCTTTGAATATTCGGAATTATTATCTTTATTCAAATATTTATAGAAATTACTTCTCTTCCTTTCTCTTCTTTGTTGGAGTTTCTGAAGAAACATTCTGGGCAAAATTATGAGCATAGAGACGTTGCACAGGTGTTGCATATGATAATTGAGCAGTGGACATGTTGTTACTGGTAGCTCTTTGTTGGACATTTTGCATGCAACAAGCATTCAATAATCTATTACCCATGGTTTGGTAACTTTGCTTATCTTCCATGTTTTGTAGACATTTTCTCAAATCTTGAATCAAGCTTTGACAGAAGTGATCTTGTCCACTGATAGAGTTTTGAACTTTGGAAATGGATTCAGTTAAAACAGTTCTTCCTTCTTGTAATTTTTGAGAATCTGAAAGTGATTTGGCTGTGGCCATAGCATGGCTGACTTCAACTCTATTCTTTTGGACATCTAGTTGGTAGTTGGCTTGTGATTTGATTGAAATATTATTTCTTTGAATGGTCATGTCAAATCCAATTAATTCACTTTCAGTTTCAATAATGTTGAAATACGAAAGTGAAACTTGAGCTAGCTCTTGAATGTCCAATGGATTGTAAAGTCTTGGAATGGATAATATAAAGACAATATCCTTCTTCTCTTCAGAATACACATCTCCAACATTAATTTCACAACCAGCTCCATTTGGAAGATCTGAAACTCTAAAACCAGTCAAAACTTTCTTCAAACTAATGTTTGCCTTTGGTTGAATTCGAATCTTGATATTTTGTCCAACAACTGACACCAAATTTCCAATCACATTACCAAAAGCTTTTGGAATATCATCTGCGGTTTCCAAGTAATCATACAAGCCATTTCCTTTTTGAGCAATGCTTGTGAGCATGTTAGCATCTGTGTCTTGGCCAAAACCAAAGGTATGAATGGTCACGTTAGATGTGGACAACAATTCATCCATTAAATCTTGCATATTTTGAAGGATTTCGTTTGTGGAGATCAAACCTCTGTTGGCCAAACCATCAGTGAATAAGATTACAGAGGTAACTTCATTCTTTTCCTGTTGTCTGGAAGCCAATAGTTTCAAACTAGTAAAGAGGGCACCTGAAAGATTGGTACAACTACCAGGAGAAATGGCTGAGGAAACTTGCTTGGCTTTCTTCTTTCCTTCAATGTCCATCTTGGTCAGATCAAGATTGGTTTTGACTTGAGTGTCAAATTCAACGATGGCCACACGATCCTTCTCTTTCAACTGATCAACCATGAAAGAGAGTGTTGACTTGACCATGTCCAGCTTTTGTCCAGCCATGGAGCCACTCTTATCAACCACCAGAACCAAATCAACACCCTTTCTCTCCTTCTGAGCTTGTTGTTCAAAACATGGACCTTGCAGTGTTGCCATACAATACAAGTCACATTCTGTTTCGAAGGGAATTGCTTCATACTCACAATGTCCATTGAAAACAATCTTGTTTGAAGTAGAACGAGTATTCATCTATTTTGATTTGTTGTTGTTTTTTAAAAGTTTGAAAAAACAAATCCCAAGCAAATTAGCTTGCTTTTATAGGTTTTGGTTTGCCAAGCAGAGAATTATGTGCGTTTCAAAGTTGGATAATCAAAAATTGATAAAACAAAAAGTTTTGTCAAGAAATATTTGAGAATTTTACTCAACAATGGTTGGCTGTTCTTGTTGATTATCTTGTTGTGAAGAATTGGTTAGGGAAGTGTTGGAAGTTGAAGGAATTACTGCATGGTCAATTGGGGTAGGTGGTGATGTGAGCTGTTTTTCTGAGAGAATTGAAATGGTATCTTCTTGATTGAGATTTGAATTACTACTACTACTTTCATTGATAGTCAATTCGGCAAGAATAGTCGATTGATCTTGATCAGTATTTTCCGAATGAACATCCTCCTCCTCTTCGACTGTTACAATTTCTAGAGCGTTCATGAGTGTTTCGAATTTTCCTGCTTGATCCATTCCTTCAAACATGATTTGATCCAAAACTTTCATAATGTGATCGTGTGAATTGATGAGAAATTCAACAAATCCAGTAATGTGGTTGACGTGTCTAAGGGCAGAATCTGCTGTTTGATTTCTTCTTCTGAGAATGTTAGGACCCATTACAATACCAATATTCTTTGGTGTCATTCTATTGATTGACGACTTGTCAGCAATCTTTTTCATGAATTGCATCGTTTTGTGAAAGAGTGGAATGTGAGCTCGTTCAACTCTCCTCAATACACTTTCCAATTTTTCCAAATTCAATGATTTGGTTTCAATTAGTGAAATACAATCATCATACAACTCATATTGAATGATTGGAGTTGGCATGACTCTCAAATATTCTTTCAGAACACCAACTGCAGTGTGTAGAAACTCTACAGTCGTCTCTTCAGGAACAAATTCCTCAATAAATGTTCCAACTGGGAGAATAATCATTTCGTCCATCTTTTTCTTTAATCTCAAAATATGAGCTCTATTTCCAGGAATTCTCAACACTCCTTCAATTTCACAACAATTTTCCAGAACGTAATCAAAGAGAATGTCAATTGATTTCGGTAGGAGATTTCCTTTTTCTCTTCTTCTTTGTAAAATGTGAGCTAGTTCAGCATTGAATATTGCTGGATCTTCCATGAGTGAAATGTCGAAATTTATCGAACCATGCTTGACTCCAATCAATGGTTTTGTAATTGATTTCGGAGATGGAGTATTCAGGAGTGAGTAAATATCCTCAGCTTCCAAATCTATAATACAATGACCTAGAACATCATCCCTAGTATACTTATCATAATCGAATGCATCCAATCGGAGGAATAGTTTAGTTCTATTCACATTGTGTCTTTGAGAAAGCACCTGTTCAAAGATATCCTTCTCAATGAACATGATTAAATCCTCTCCTGCTTCTCCCCATTTTGGATTCAAATTCTTGAAAATGATTGAAGTTTTTGTAAACTTTCCTAATTGATTCCACTTGACAGGTAAAGTTGCTTCACCTTCTTGCATTTCTGATTTGATTTGTTCATCAATAACGTCCTCATCTTTGTGATTGATTGAAAGCGATGATTCAGCTGAGTGCAGAGGTTTATCAGTGTCAGGAGTTTTAGCTTTGATATTGCTGTGTGAGATGTTGTTTATGTTTGATGTGGATTTTGTCTTGTTTTTAGAGCTGTGAAAGAAGGAAACTGATCTATTTTGTTGGCTGTTGGATGGAGATGGTTTTTCAGTGTTGACATTTGATGCATTGGCATTTTGGATAATTGATAAATTTGATGGAATGGCACTCGACTCTTCGGGTAACAATTGCGTTGATGATTTTGTTACTTTGTCAATGGCAATCGGTACTGATGCAAACAATCTACATTCTATCAATTTTTCATCCATTCATTCGTTACAATTATTTCAAAAACAAATTCGTTCGAATTGTATTTCAAAATTTTCATAAATTTTCATACAAAAATGTCCAAAATATGAAAATAATCAAAAATTATGAAAATTTCAATCAATTATTAAACCATTTCTACTAAAACTCACCAATATATGGGTCTGAAAAACCATTCCAATCAGCAGAAATGAGATGATCACACGATTTGATAGTAACCTTGAGAATGAGCTCATCTCCAATTAAATCTTTTCTTTCCTTGTTGTAGTAGGTTGATGAATAGTCGTTGGGAGCTTCTTCTTCAATACTACTTTCTGCATCTGAGAGAAAGAAACCTTTTGATTGTGGTTTCGGTGTTGGTGGTTGAGAGGCGTCAAACATTTTTTTTTGGTTGGAAAATTCAAAGATACTGATGACATGTTCAGTGACAGGAAGGAAGGGTTTGATGTTATTGGTGCGATATTTTATCAATCACTGACCCCTACTGAACTGAAGTTACTGAATTTACATTTATTCTTCGCTCAGCGAATAAAGATTAGTCCAATTTCTGATATCTATGTTGTTACTCAATATTATTCACATTATTTAAATAAACACAGAGCTAATTTCCCTACTCACTTCCTCCTTTTCTCTCTTATCTTCTCTATGTTCTCGGAACCATAAAATCAGAATTGGTATGGCCAACAAGATGAGAGATACAATTTCAGCAATAATTACCCACAAACTAGCTCCTGATGGATTCACAAAGAGTTGAACATCCCAAGAATCGGGCTTATTAGGTGGTGTGTTGAGAGTGACCAATTGAGAGTTTGGAATAATGGCACTAAATGATTTGTAATTGGTTGAGCTGTCCTTAGTGGCATGTGCCTTACCAACAAAGAATTCCTCTACATAGCCATTAGTTCTTCCCAATCCAAATAATTTGTAAGGCGTTTCCAGAGCTAGATAATTAGTTTGAGAGATGAGTGATTGCATGTTAGCTTGTTTTGTTCCATCTAATTTTGTGGAGGTAAATTTGATAGTAACACCTGGAGCATTGACACCATAATAATATGTACCATCTTTAGAGGTAACACCATTGGTTGAGATGGTTTTTAAAAAGTAGGCGTCATTGAAGAAGCAATTAAAGAAAGCTCCCAAAGTTCTATTGTAAAGATGTTCATCGTGATAAATTGTAATAATATCCAATACTCCTGTTTCATCAATATCCAAAAAGAAGGCATCCAACTTGGGCATTTCATTCATTTTTGTTTTGGGTGGCACTTTTGCAATGGATGCCTCATTGAGGGCATCAACATGTTGAGAGACAACTTGGAAAGTTCTGGAAGTACTTGTGTGGGTACAATTGAATAATTGATTTTCTGAAGAACTTGCTTCTGGACATTCAACATTTTGCCACAATTCAATTCCAACCTCTTGGTGATCATCCTTGGTATTGACAACACTGACAACAAGATCTGGATAACCATCAAGGTTAAAATCTCCAACTCTGAGGGTAGCTGGTCTTGAGTGGAATTTAGTACTATCAAGGTGGTGCAATATTCTCTTTCTAGAGTCGGGCAATTCAATAACAGCTCTCTTTGAAAGTGAGAATGAACTCTGCCTACAGAGGTCAGTATCTTGTCGACAATTGGTGTCATCAATAGTAATGCCGGTGCAGAGTGGTAGCTGGTCATTAAAGATGACATGAAGCTCATTTGTTTCCTCACAAGTATCCAAAGGATAACAAACAGGATACAAAATGTCCATATCTCCATCATGATCAAAGTCCAAAATCACAGGTCTTCCGGCACCCTTTGGAAGATTGATTGTAGTATTGAGCTTGAGTTTTCCCATTTCATTAATCCAAATTTCCAAATGAGGTGAATCACAAGTGGTATTACTCGATGCGTGTGAACAACTCATAATGATTAAATCGGATCCACAATCTCCATCAATATCAACATTAATTACTGCCATTGGAAAGGCAAGAGGATTCAAATTTTCAGTCTCTGTAAAACTCTCCTGGTCAATTTGAGTATAATTGAGCACATTCGACTTGTATTCTACATTATCATTAATCCAAAATGTTCGTTTTCCTGTTGATGCATCAGTAGAAAATAAGTCAGGAAGCAAATCTCCATTCACATCAACTACACTTATTTGATCGGTTGTTTTCGATGACAAGAATCCACCATCACGAAGACTCTTAAAATCACCCAATAAGAAATGGTGTGTGTAAAGTTGTTCACTACTACTCGGATCCATCAAAGTAACCAACAAATCCAGAGCACCATCATAATTAAAATCGGAAGCTACCAGACTCACAATTTCCACATTTTCATCAATTAAATTCGACAATCGGTAATCAAATTGTGTATGATTTACAAATTTCCACTTGTATGTATTCCAAACTAGTATTTGAATGGCCTTTCTATCGGATGAAACTGTTATTAAGTCTGTTGTTTTTTGATTGGTAAAATCACCTAGAGCTTCTATTGTATATCCTGTCCATTCTTCAAATCCAACATTCGGACTCACATCATATAATATTGATTTTCTAAACAAGAAACTCGGAGCATATGAAATGGAAGGAGGAAATAGAGAAAAACCTCCCAAAACAAAGCAATTATTATTGTTATTTGTTATTGTATTGAATATCATCAGAAGAAAAATATTCATCAATAGTAATGATGACCTTGCTGTTATTGTGTGATGATGACGAAATTGATGAGATGATTTTCGTTTTTCCATTTTTTTAAATTTTTAAATTAGAATTTAATTGGAGGTGAAAGATATCTTTCTCATTGGATGGATTCTATTAGAATATAATTCAATTAATTGATAATTTAATTATTAATAATTGAATTAGAGTTTAAATCCATACACCACATCATTTCCACAGATTTGTGTGGTTCTTCTATCAAGGCAGTAAAAGGGAATTTCTTCTGGGTTTCTTCATCAGAATATGAGATAGAGGCCTTGCTTTCAAAACCCAATTTTCTTCTCAATCCTTGTGAGTAGGCTGATGTAGCTTCCGAGAGTGCCATTGTATAGCCTCTTTCACGAACACTTCTCAATAGAAATTTGGACAATTCGAATGAAACACCTCCACGTCTAGCAAATTCATATGAAGCTCCAACATAGATGTGCAGTACTTTGGAGATATTTTCAGGTACATAGAATGCTTCTTTTGATTGATTTGTATTCAATTCCCAATACTTTTCATGAAGATGATCCAATAATCCAAAAACTTTAAAGAGTGGAGCATCTACAGAGTAGTGATCTTCAATTTCCTTTGCTCCTTCTTTTGCTCCCTTGACTAAATCTTCTCCTATTATTGCAGCAACAACCATACTAATTTCCAATATATCCAATTAATTGATTTGTTAATTAATAATATTAATAATTAGAATGATCATGAACAATTTAACATTACTCACTTTGATTTTCTATCCACAGCAACAGCACCCAAACCATCACGAGCAGCAATCTTGGCATAATGTTCCATGAAATAATAAATATCCAAAGGAGAGAATTTCAAGGCTTTAGACAATGGCTCTCCTGAACTAAAAGTTTGAGTGGCCAACACTGCTGCCTGTGTTACATATTCACTCGTCAGGAGCTTGAAATCCAAGTGGGCACATGAACTGCAAGAAGAGGATCCTGAAGACATTTTTTTGTTGTGGTTAGTCCAATTCCATAACAATTCAAACCATCTTGTAACTGAAATGATGTGTTTGTTAATTTTTTTTGATTTTGGTAATTGGTTTTTTGGCGCCAATCTTACTGTAAATATAATTTAAAAAAAATTCATGATTGAAGTTGATCTGAAACAAGAGGAGGCCTCCTCAATCATGAAAGAGAAGGAACAGTAAAATTTGTTCAATTTCCGTATCAAGAAAAGAGATGGAATTCAATAGAACAACTTTTGAAAAAACTAATTGAAAAACCAAAGAATATTACATCCCGAATGGTTGCAAAGGTCATTTATGAATTATCGAGTAAGATTCATCCCTTTACAGGTGATCCGATCGAATATTTGGATGATAATTATTTAATTTTGGTGAATGCTTTAAGTTTGTATGATAAGAAATATTATGAGAAGGATCACGGAAAGACTGGACTACTCTCAAAAGTTATTCCATTCATTGTAAAATTAGTGTTGGAAAGTGATAAATATCTAAAGCCGAATAGTTTACCTTACTTGAGGAGAGGCAATAATTTGACAGTGGAAATTACAAGGATGGCAGCTGCCTCTTTGTTGGCAAATAGCTTTTTTTGTTTGTGGAAGAGAGCTTGTTATGAGGAGTGTTGGGAAATATTTCCATCCATTAATTTTACAGATATGTATAGTACTGAAATAAGTGAAGAGTAGGTTTATACTTGAATAATTGTATTGTGAAATAATTACAGAGTGAAATGCTTGGTATTGAACTATTTCTCATTAATGGAGAGGGAATGGAATGTGATTCAGAATGGGATTTCAAAAGATGTAATTACAATTAGTAGAGTTCATTTAAATTCAATTCCATCTATCGAAAAATCACAAGAAAGACTTTGCCAAGTTCAAATCAAAGCCAGCGGATCTATCAATGATGAACCAAACGCAACGCATGTGGATTTTGCCAATCAATTCATTGGAGGAGCATCTCTTTCTTATGGGTGTGTACAGGAAGAGATAATGTTCTCCATTTCATTCGAAAAGAATATAGCCAGATTAATTTGTGAAAAGATGAACGACAATGAAGCTATACTCATTAATGGAGCTAGAAAATATTCCCATTATTCAGGGTTTGGAGAGGATTTCAAGTATGAAGGAGTATGTGTTGATGAGAGTCCTCACATTAATGAGATTTGTGCCATTGATGCCTTATCATTCTTTGGAAAGGATACTAATTCTCAATTTGAACCTCAAAATGTTAAGAGGGAAATCTTAAAATCTCAAACAGGTTTTACATTTTCCAAATATTCAACAATAGCAACAGGCAATTGGGGATGTGGCGTATTCCGTGGTGATAGACATTGAAAAGTGTTATTCAAATGCTATCTGCATCATTGTCTAACAAATCTCTAATCTATTATTCATTTTCGTCTACAGATTTCAGTCGAGATTTGAAAGAATTTGTGCAACTTCTTGCAGAGAATGATATCAGACTTGGAAATTTATATTCAGGAATCTTGAAAATTCACTTAAAAGATAAAGAAACAGTTTTTGAATATTTACAAAAGATTCTTCCAAAATCCAAGTAATATTAAGATGTATTCACAAAAAAGACTCTTGGTTTGGTATTGTTACAACCTAATGTTGCTTCATCAATCTCACCTCATGTGAATTCATTGATATTTTAGTGATAACCAATCAAATCATAATTCTCTAATCTTCGCCAGATTAAGGAAGTTGAAAACAATTCCACCATTTCACACACATACTACCAATCACCCTTCTCCCAAAAGAACAAGGCAAACTTTCCCTCTACCATAAATACCACTTCCGATGATCCAAAACCTCCTTCCCACGAATCTGCATAATATTCATCATCAAATATCCTAACATTCGACTCTGGAAACAACTCTCTTACTAATTTTACATAATCACCCAAATGTTTCACAATCCTTTCATAACATTCAGAACCGCACAATTTTTCTCTGCCACAGAAAACATTTCCTGATGAGATGGTTTTCAATAGGGTTGGAAAATCCTCAATAGAAACATAAGGTTCCACCGATAAATCGAACCAGTGTTTGAATTGTCGAATGGATTGCTGTTTGTGTTGCCAGAATGAGAGAATGGTCTTGTCTAGAGTTGCGAGTTTGTCTAGCAATTTATCAGGCAGTTGTGAAGACATTTTTCTTAATAGAACTCATTCACGGAGCTCAAACTGAATTGCTACTTTTATTTGTGTTTACGGTAAAAGTTCTGCTGAACTATTAGTTCTATTTTGGAAGTAGAAATACAGTTTGCCAAACATTTCATAATTTCATAGAGAAAACATGGGAATTAAAAACGAACACCAAACTCAGGGTCATCATAATAAACATTCGGATATCTCCAAGTGAGAGCAGGTCTCGAGGAAAAGCTCAACACTAGTGTAAAGTCGATGATTAAGGCATTGCGAAGTTGCTCTGGTAATTGACCAACTTTTGCACAATCTGTGAAGAGTTTTTCACAATTTCGTGTTCCAAAGCTCAAAAAAGTATCAAAAAAACTTGAAAAACAATCTAAATGAAAATATTTTCCACATTCTAAGGCTTTTTCGAAATAATTATCAATTGTTAGTGAAAAGTTTTTCTTGCAATGATAAATTAGGCATTGATTTTCATGTTTCAAAGCTATATCTATTAATCTAATAAAACTAAAAGAGTTATGGATTGGAATCCCATAACAACTTTTGATACTAATTTCCAATAATTCTAAATCTTCTGATTCATCAGGTGTAAAGACATCATCACTAAGATCACTGAATGATGATCCACTTTCGAATAATGCATTAAAAAAAATACACGAACTGCTTAGTATTGATTTGTGACAATATAAATATTGGTCTTTGCTTATTTTGATTTTAACATCACTGGACTTCTCATCATTAAATAGTGATTCCATTCCTTGTAGTTTAATTTCAGTGTCTTCTATTTGCATTGGACTTGTCGTTGTTACTTCCAACATTAATACAATATTCAGACTATTTCTCATAATGATTGGTGCAGTTTTAAGATGTTTTGCTGATTGTGGATTTCTCAATTGAATGGCAGAATATTCCAAACAATAATTATTCAAATATTCCAATATGTAATTTTCAACTTCTATTTCTTGACAAAATTTGAGTAAATTCTCACTTTGTTCCCATTTTGAAGGAAGTGTTTCCAGCGTGATGGAATTAATAAATGCGTTTACAAATACTCTTTTAAAATCAATAAATTCACAATTCTTGAACATTCCTAAAATGAATAATACATTCAATATATCATATTCTTTAAATGAATTCAATCTTTCAATCTCTGTAAAATGATATACATTTTCATATATCAATGAATCAATTAGTTTTTGAATAATTTCTATTTGTTGCGAATTCATTGATTTCAATAGTTTTTCATTTTTCAATATTATTTTACAAAATTGTGGTGATAACTTTTCTATTAATGGAATAAATCCAATCAATTCCAATCCAAATAATTCATCTCTTGAATGTTTTTTCAATTGGATTTTTGGAATTATAGTATAATCATTTCCAATGTGTGGATGCGATGAAAAATCAAATGGTGAATCACCACTGAATCCTTTTTCACCATTTCCAGCAATTGTTTCAATTGTTCCATCTTTCAATATTTTTCTAATTCTGTGATTATTTGTATCGGCAATATAAACTTCATCATTTTGAGAAACGAATATATTGTATACATTTGATATTTGTGCATTAATTGCAGGTCCTCCATCACCACTATATCCTTCTTCTCCAGTTCCTGCAATTGTATTAATAATTCCATTTCTCAATATTTTTCTAATTCTACAATTTCCACTATCCACAATATAAACTTCATTCGTTGCTGAAACAAATACACCACATGGAACGTTCAATTGTGCATTTGTTGCAGGTCCACCATCACCACTGAATCCTTCTTCTCCAGTTCCTGCAATTGTATTAATAATTCCATTTCTCAATATTTTTCTCACCCTATTATTTTGGCTATCAGCAATATACACCTCATCATCTTTGGAAACAAAAACACTGCAAGGATAGCCAAGTTTTGCATTGATTGCGAGTCCACCATCTCCACTAAATCCGTCTTCTCCAGTTCCTGCAATTGTTACAATAGTTCCATTTCTTAATATTTTCCTGATTCTACAGTTTGAATAGTCAACAAAATACAATTCATTATTTTGAGAAAGGGCAATATTCCACACAGCTGATATTTGTGCATTAATTGCAGGTCCTCCATCACCACTAAATCCTTCTTCTCCAGTTCCAGCAATTGTTACAATATTACCATTTCTTAATATTTTCCTAATTCTATAAATTCCCAAATCAGCAATATACACTTCATTATCTGAAGAAACAGCAATACTTGTGGGAAAATCCAACATTGCACTCGTTGCAGGACCACCATCACCACCAAAACCACCAAAACTCCATCCTGCAATGGTTACCATTGTTCCATCTTTTAGTATTTTTCTCACCCGATGATTATCTCTATCAGCAATATAAATTTCATCATTCGGAGCAACAAATACCTCCACTGGACAATTTAGCATTGCATCGGTGGCCATCATCATTTTAGCCTTTTTTAATTTATTTTCATCATTAGCAGCATCACAACTTTCTCCATTATTCGATTCCGATGAATGTGTAGTAGCAAGACTTCGTTTCATTTTTTTAAACTTTTTGTAATATTAGTTTAAAGGACTAGTTATCTATTTTGAAATTGTTGTATCTGATGAGTTCGATTCCAAGCTTTATTTGAAAACATATTCGAATCAAGGAATAGGGATACTTCTAATCTCATGATAAACTTAATCAGCTAAACGTGATCAAAAAAAACAATCAGACCAAATCAAATGAGTCGAACATCACACAGTTTTGTAATAACATCGACATACTTGATGTCTCGTCTACCACCAACACCAAATATTATGTATTAACAAGAGTTAAAGTGTTTTAAAGCTGCCACGTTCTTAGGTGTTCTTTTGTGCTTGTCCCAAATAAAGTTGAGGAGTCTTTGCTGATAAGACGAGAGAGTTTCTCCAGAGAGTGTGTGCTATTATTGTAGTCATTGTCTAATTGGCCCAACTTCAGATAATTTTTTTGTAATCGCCAAGTTTCAATGATAGCATATCTATGGATGGAGACAGGCTACACAAGACCCATCCATTAAATAACAAAATCCACAATCCAACATCAAAATTTCACTGAATCTATTATTTCTATATTAAGTTTTTTTAAAATAAAGTTTTATTACATTAAGAAAGAATTTAAAACAAGATTTTTGGAAAGCAAACATGAAACACTGTTTTTACAATCCAAAGTCAATTTTGTCTTAGCAGTAACCTAATATATTCATTGTAAACCTGTATTGAAAATGTTAAAAAAAAATGAAACGAAGTCTTGCTTCCTCTAATAATGACGAAAATGTTGCTGATGAAAATAAATTTAAAAAAGCCAAAATGATGATGGCCACCGATGCAATGTTAAATTGTCCAGGAGGAGTGTTTGTTGCTCCGAATGATGAAATTTATATTGCTGATAACCTAAATCATCGGGTGAGAAAAATATTAAAAGATGGAACCATAGTCACCATTGCAGGAATTGGAGAAGAAGAAGGAGAAGGATTCAGTGGTGATGGTGGACCTGCAACAAGTGCACAATTTAACCATCCATGTGATGTATTTGTTTCATCAACGAATGAAGTTTATATTTCTGATTTTGGAAATTATAGAATTAGAAAAATATTAAGAAATGGCAATATTGTAACAATTGCAGGAACTGGAGAAGAAGGATATAGTGGAGATGGAGGACCTGCAATTAATGCACAAATATCAGCTGTAAATAATATATTCGTTTCTCAAAATGATGAAGTTTATTTTTCTGATTTTAGAAATCATAGAATTAGAAAGATATTGAGAAATGGAACTATTGTAACAATTGCAGGAACTGGTGAACAAGGATTTAGTGGAGATGGTGGTCCTGCAATTAATGCAAAATTAAACACCCCTTGTGGTGTTTTTGTTTCTAATAACGATGAAGTTTATATTGTAGATTACAAGAGTCATCGAATTAGAAAGATGTTGCAAGATGGAACAATTATAACAATTGCAGGAACTGGTGAACAAGGATTTGGAGGTGATGGAGGACCTGCAACAAGTGCACAATTGAGCCATCCATGTGGTGTATTTGTTTCATCAACGAATGAAGTTTATATTACTGATAGTTATAATTATAGAATTAGGAAAATATTAAGAAATGGCAATATTACAACAATTGCAGGAACTGGAGTTAAAGGATATAGTGGTGATGGAGGACTTGCAATTAATGCACAAATATCATATGTAGAGAATATATTTGTTTCTCAAAATGATGAAGTTTATATTGCTGATACAAATAATCATCGAATTAGAAAAATATTGAAAGATGGAACAATTGAAACAATTGCTGGAAATGGTGAAAAAGGATTTGGAGGTGATTCACCATTTGATTTTTCATCGCATCCACATATTGGAAATGATTATACTATAATTCCAAAAATCCAATTGAAAAAACATTCAAGAGATGAATTATTTGGATTGAATTTGATTGGATTTATTCCATTAATAGAAAAATTATCACCACAATTTTGTAAAATAATATTGAAAAATGAAAAACTATTGAGATCAATGAATTCGCAACAAATAGAAATTATACAAAAACTAATTGATTCATTGATATATGAAAATATATATCATTTTACAGAGGTTGAAAGATTGAATTCATTTAGAGTATATGATATATTGAATGTATTATTCATTTT